ACTAATACATTTACGCTTACGCTGGATTTGCGAACAAAATTTCCCGCCAAAATCTTGCTGCGAAATTTTGAAGTTATTTTCTCTAACTTCAATATTAGAAAGACAAACAGTATATACGTGGTCAACCTATACATGTCTATTTTAATCAGCAATTTTAAATTTGATAAAAAACTAGATAGAAATGTCAATGGTACATCTTTGTGCAGCCCCACCCCCACCCATCCCAAGTCTGTGATCATCATCATAATTTAAGCAAGAGAACCAAGTTGAACATGAAAACAGAGTTGTTTTCTCACTAATCAAAATACAAGTAGATACTGATTATATTGATGCTTTTGCTTTTGTGTTGCCATAGCAACAACTTTCCTCTATGTGGCATTAGATGTGTTTTTTTCACTTATTGAGTAAAATGCAATTTTGACATCATTTTTGTTTCTTTACATTAAAAGACAATACAAGCAATTTAGAAATGAAAATTCAGAAGATGAAAAAAAACATTAAAAGTGAATGAATTATTTCAGAAATAAAATTGTCTGTGCATAATGAACTAGGAGAACAAGATCAAAGCGACAAGGGATTGGTTTACACAATTATGATGACATTATGCAGATTACTGTACCACGCTCGGATCAGGTGAAAAGCTTAGATTTACCCAATTTGTCATCGCATAGATTGGGCCAGAGTTGATAAAACTGTTTGCCAGCAATTAGATAAAATTGCACCCTTAACGTTAGCAACTAATGAAGAGAAACCACCTCGGCAGCAATCATGACAGAAAAAGAATTAACGCCATTGAGAGCAATGAAAAGAAAAGAACAAGTGAAATCAATAATGGACGTAAATATCTACAATATGAAAGGCAATTTTTTTCAGATTCAGATTCAATACCAAATTGATGAATCAAAATGCATTCAGTACTATGCATGAAAAGTGTATTCATGTTACATTAGGGAATTAAAAAAAATCAGTACTTTTAGTTTTATTTGTTGAGTAAAGATTTTTGGTCTTTTTTTTTTTTGCATAACGCTTACTTGAAAATGTATTCAACAACACAAGTGTTTGGCCGCCATGGTGAAAACAAATCATTAATTTAAAAGTTCTGAATAGGTGGTGGAAAATTTATTGATTTCCTCCCAATTTTGTCTTTTGCAAAACTAAATTTAAAGTAGTGACCCTTCCAAAAAAATGAAAAACTGGTAAAAATAAATTGGGAAATAATGTGCAATATTTTTATGTGTGCAAAGTATTTTCATCACAAATATCATAATACAGATATACATGTAATTTAAATTAGCATGGTAACCTCACCAACATGATTGAAAATATCTGGAGGGGGACACTGTACCATACAAAAATATATACCTTGAGTATCAATAAATAAAACATCTAAAAAAACTAAATATTGTGTTGGAAACCATTAAGTGTGAATATCAGGAAAGAGCCTGTGGTTGTATGAATATGAAGACAAGATTGGACAAGTTCAGTAACCATTTATGCAATAACCCCCTCCCCCCCAGCTTGTAATAGTTATTTTTTTTTCTCTTAGATTGCGAAAATGTTAGAAGCAATTACCTTGTGACTTCTGAAAAAAACCTATGAATGGTGAAGCGTACTCCTCCGAGATATTAGACTAATCCATTGAATTCAGACAGGCGAGGGCAGGAGGGAATCCCAGGCAGGGTGAGGGTGGGTACATGGAATGACATTGACGATTCAGGGCACGTCACATATTCTATTTGTATTAATGCATGGACTGATAATGAATGACTACAAGGTATCAGACGCTGAGAAAAAAAAGAAAATATGTCATTCACAGAATTTACCCATCTTTGGAACTGTCTCTGCTATTCCCGCTCTTATTGAAATATGAATGAATGAAAAAGTCCATTAGCTTCTGAATGAAAGGGTCACAGGGTTATATGCGTATAATTCATGGGCATGGACTTATAGATTGGCTTGCTGCCAATATTATGCAACTTTATGTAAATGGTCATGTGTCATGCCCATCTGCTGCTATACCTTAATAAATACTCAATGATGAATCAACTCTCAAAAAGACAATTTTCTTATATGCATTTTTATGACAAGCTATGGCACATACCAAGAACACATTGCCTTCACAGAAACACAAATTAGTTATTGATCCAAACTTTATTTTACCGGTATTCGTTTTTTAAACAATCACTCTTAAAAAGTATAGTTTAATTTCATTCAAGTTGCAACATAAAAATAAAGTGTATTTTAAATTTAAATATTTTATATAACTGTGGAAAATAACAGCTTTAAAACAAAAGTAATAGCGAGGAACATAAATTATTGCTTTAAACCTGATCAGACAGGATGAATGATGATCCCTAGGTTAAGAAAAATTACTAAAATTGCATTCAGTTTTCCCCAAAGGCTACCTAATCTTGATCCATGCCTTCAAAAAACATCGTTGATACACTTTCCCACATTTCTCAAATCTTTATCAGATCTCTGGAGTTTATATTTATTATTTAAGGTGAGGACAACACGGTATACAGATCCTAGGAATTAAAACTAAACATTGTTTTCCACTACATGTATCATTCGCGACTGGGAAAGCGACAAAAGCCTAGGGAATTGTCTTGGTCTCTTGCCAGTAAAATATAAAAGATAACTTCTCTCCTTTTGTCATCAGCAAATTACACTATTTTACAAGTTTATTCCCAATGCAGTCACAAAGTGAAATTAACACTCCGCAAGGCAACAATGGTGCAAATATTGGGATTATTCCTGCAGACAAACCACCATGTTGACAGAAAACAATCAATTTTCTCTCCCCTAGAGTTCCCTAGTGTTTTAAAAATACCCTGGATATATTGCTCAAATTTTCAAACAAGACTGAATAAATTGAGAAGGTTATACGAAAGCAGAAAAACTTACTCCATCAAGGACTACCTATATGTCAATTTCAGTACGGAAACGTACATACAATACATGGAAACATTTTAAACTCTTCGGCACGTTCTGAGTAGAAGTGTAAAGATTTCATTCTCTAAATTCAATTATTCAACCAGAATACAGTAATGAATTTACTGAAACCCAATTTATTAAAAAAAAGTTGGAGAGGATGAATAGATTTAATAAAAACACTTTTGTGACTAAGGTCTTTTCAGCCACACATATACACACATAAGTGTTCTATTCAATTCAAAAATTAAAGTTACAATACCAGGGAGCTTAATTAACTGTTTGAGAAAAGCAAACAGAGAAACAAAACAGAAATTTAAAAACAAAATATACATTGTAACATCTAATAAAAATCATAGGCCAAGCTAAAAAAAATCTACAATCAGGCATAGACAAACAAAAAGATAAAAGTACCATCAGCGTTATCATCCACATGCCACATACTCATCATTCATTGATTCCGGGATCTTGGGATGATAGTTTTATGACGAGAGAAATAAAAACATTACCTGTTTTTATGTGCATAGAAGCAGCCGCGCTCATAATCCGCAACACCCAGCTGAGTGGGGCACATTTGATGCAGTGACATTGGAAATGTGGCGGGATCTCCACACTTTTCATCCAGCAGTCTACCATGATGCGCAGCACACTCGCTCTATCTCAACTCACTGATACATTGCTGCTCTGCACTCTGTGTAGATTATTAATGTTAAGTGACAACAAAGAGCGTAACCGACAACCTCATTTTCAGCAGTCACACACTTCGCACCAATTAGTTCAGCTCCTGATAGTTTAGCATTGTTCCTACCATCAGAAATAACTCTATTTCACCAGTCATCAAAGTCCGATAACCACTGAAGTGGCTTTTGTGTCAGGCAAGACGGTCGCCTGCAGTGATACACAAAAGCAATAAATGCGGCTTATTTATGGCTCACGCATGCTACCACAGGGGATTCTCCTGTCAACTCTTCTATGGGAATTTTTTACACAGATCGCAAAAGCTGCTCGGCATAAATTTATGCAAATATAACACTCGTCTCATTCTCCATGTTTCCAATGCAAAAAGCCCATAAATCATACAAGCCTTTTAAGAGTCTCCAGTGTGTCAGGGATATACAGCAGGGACATCAACTGATGATGCCAACTGTCAACCTCCAATGCGACTGTAGATTTTTATTTCAACTCTTTGAACGATTAGCATTTTCAGGCATAAAAATCAGAGTGCAAAACCACTTGTAAGCTCCTATGACATTATTATTCTCCTTTATCTTCCCATAACGCTATCTCGGGAAACGCCCCGTAATATTTGATTCCAACCTATTTGAAGTATAAAGTAGCTTGTCTTGAGGCAGAAAAGAAACTAGGGAGTTCAGCGTATGACACAATATCCATAGATTTTAACCTTTTTTGCGACTTTCCATTAGAGCAAGGCTCTCATTAGTAAACCATGTTTTACATTAATATCTGCATCCAAGTATTAGAATCAAATTCAAGGTTTTATTTGTTAATATAGCAGACTGCATGAACGAAATGCTGGTGATGAAATTTTTACATGAGGGCTCTCTACGGTTTGATTTTTCAGACAGATGGGCAAATCAAGTTTTGTGTGCTTAATACACATTTCATAGTCATGTCTAATATTGTAAATTATTTTACTGGCACACTGCTTAGATCAAATTATCTTCATCTTCAAATCTTGTTAACTATAAGCATGGGTGAAAGCTTTAAAAACTCAACTATTTCTCTCACATATGAGGTTTTATTTGTATGGGAGATCAATATCTTCATTGCAACCAAACTTATAAATATTAAATGCAATTACCATATTTATATTATTTCATCGGGACGATCCATTATTTTGATAATCAATACAATCAGGAGACTGACTAACCTATTGTATGTAAAGTACCTTGAATCAACGTATGGCTATTTGTTAAAACGGGGCTCAATCCCTTGGCTACTATTGTTCTTGTTATTTGAATACCTAATCTGTCAATTGTTTCTCTTTATTTGCTTCTGGATTATAAAGACAAACTGAGAAATAAATCTAACCATGGAGGTAATACCTCCATGATCTAACTAACAACCTCACGCTTTAAAGCAGCTTACGTTGGTTGTCATTCCGGCTATGTAGCTAAGCATTATGAGAGAATTAAAAAGGGATTACCAATTGAAGGTAATTCAATATCTGACAATAGCTTCCATTCACTTGATTGCACATTTTCAATCAGCCCAGGGACAATACAGTGGGCCTTTAAATAACGCACTGCGATACAGGGCAATACATCAAACAGTATCTAATACTCCTGCTCAAACCTTTTTACATGTCTATTTATCATGAGTTGTGAACTATTTCACATCCAAATTTAAACTACATAGATCAAGTTGTAATCCTGCAAGTCAGTGTACTGTGAAATGTTTCATCACTAGACAATTTCTCGATTCAATGATTCAAGGGTGTCCGAAGACAAAATTACACCAAAGTTACCAACTCCCTATGGACTAATCTTGAAAGCGATTTATTTAATTTAATTTTTCATTAAAAGCACATCTCCATTACATGAATTAAGGCAAAGCAATGTTTATATCCAGCCATTAAAGTTGACTGACAATTAATGCAAACCGCTACATTTTGGAAGAGACATATTACACGAATCAGTGGAATATTGTCCTCATGAACTCCATGAAATTAACAAATTAGAAAAAATTCAAGCATTAATAATGAAACAGTTTACAGTACGCCAGCAAAAGCTCATTATTATTTTATTTTTTTCCACAAATTATTATAATTCAGATCATTCTGGAAGGGCAATTTATTTATTTCTGGCTTGGTCCTAAGGGATGAACCATTAACAATCTACTGAAGAGAGTATTTGTCTAATTGCTTTATATTTACTCAAGTTTTTTCTCTTGTTATTTGTAATTTACACCAAATACACACGATACAAAAACTATTACCGGTAGTATGGAACCATTGATATGCATGACTATCTCAAAAGTGTCTTCTTGTAGGTTTTTTTGGAGGTACTCAGACTAAGATAGTGCCCACCATAAACCAATTTCAGTTCACTGAGAGATCTTGTGTTATGCGTGAAAACAACATAAAACAAAATAAACAAAGAATTAAGATCATAACAATGTAGTGATGTCAAAACATTGTGCAATGTTCAAAAAAAAGTATTTTTCAAATATTTCCACACTTAATGAAACGATGAGGGTCTTTAAAGTTGGCACAACTTTCAGTGTATTATAAATGTCAAGGTACATTATTGTAAACGCTAGACACTGAATCCACATGCAGTATGCATGCCCTGCGCTAAGGAAGCAACCAGCCACAGAGACACAGGAATGGATGCAAATTGTAAGTAAATTGGACTTATGAGGAAAACTTTGCTTTCCAAGATTTGTCACAGAGATAATGAAAAGTCAGAGTTGAGTGAAGGGCACTTCCCAGCAGTGCTGACCCTGTGTACAAAGATCAGACCCCTTAGAGAAAACTGACAGAGACGTTTATTGACCTTGAAGAGAAAATAAAAGCGAAATGGACTTATGACGAAACCAAATTACCTAAGAAAAGAATTATCCTAGGTAAAAATTGAACAGATTTGATCTAATTACTATCAGATTTCACAGTGAATGTTATGCTATGCAGAATTTTTACACAGTTTCCAGTACCTCCACCCCACTCCCTCAGGCATTTGAAGTACATTGGTTAGAAAGATATGTTAATTACACATGCTAATTAGATAAATTGATATGTAAATTAGATTCCAGGCTTGGCGTTACATAACATACGTGTAGCTGGAGAATTGAATGCTGAATTTAACACCATAAAATTATTAATTTTCAATGCTTTTTGATTCCACAGAGTCACATTGATTAAATTATCCACACTTGATTCGTTGATTTAATCTGCAAATAAAATCCATGCAAGTTTGTTTATTTTATTTACTTTCTCTCAATTGTACTTTTACAAAAAAAAATTACGCTGACGTAAGTTATACCTAGTAATAATTGAAAGATAAGTTTAGATTTTTTTGCAAGAGGCATAAATATGGCAGCCACTGAATAGGCAATATTTCAGTTGATCATTTATTTAAATGTATGTCTTTGGTGCAATCAATAGTTTTGAATTTTGTTAAATATTATAATAAAAGTGTTCAAGTTTAACAATGTATACAGGTCTATATAACTACCTGAAAATTTGAGACACTGAGTACCAGTACCTACCTAAAATAAACATTAATACATTTGAACATGGCATTCAAACCCTTTACAAACGGTCACCAACATCTGCTTTCACATAAACGTACATGTATTAAGGTAATAGTTACACCAGTACAGATACCCCCCTTCTGTTATTAAGCCACTTTATGCCAGGCACAACATGTTAACACAAGTTTTACTGTTACAGTGGCGTAAAGGGAGACAAACAGATGTGAACATACCATTGGACAGAATGTAAATCAGTATCTAATCCTAATTCAAATTGGATGAAAGTACACACACAATAGAAAATCATAAAGATGATCCGTAAAAATAAAACTGACAGTGGATGAAAAAAAAATAGAGAAGCGCAGTTTCCTTTTATGCTCAATCCCCTGTAAGAGTGTATTCTAAGTCTTATATGAACAAATTTAAAGTTACGTGACTGAGAACACTTGGGAACTAGAGACATGAATTAGGTGGAAACAGGATAAGGAAAGGAACATCATCGTTTATTACAATGGTATCCATCAAGTTATGTTGGTTCATCATTTGAATACAGCGATTATGTCATTCTCATCCCAGAGACGACAAAAAAGAACTCTGCAAATTAAGCATGACAAGTAGGATTAACAAGTTCTTTTTAGACAGTCGATATTTTTTCCTCACCCTCTCAGAAGCTTCAAAGATTTATATTACCCATTCAGTGCAGATTTGTCTAGAGGAATTTCATAACCATCATTACATTCACGATGACGTTGTCTTGGAAACCAGTCATGCATCTATGGATCAATAACGATGCTGCCTGAAGAATATAGCTTTATTGATTTTTCAGATGTGTAAAACACTCTCAAAGCTCGCAAACTATATAATACAGGTAATGTATATGCAGCAATGTGTGGCACAGAAGTGACAATCCCACAGATGACAGGACGAAAATAATGCATTCTGAACAGAGAATTGTCTAGGGTACGCAGGTAAAAAATGGTTTGTGGAAAATAATTACTGGATGCAAAACATATAGAGATTGCCATAGTCATGACAGGACTTGAAATGGAAGCATCAAAGGCCAATACCTTGGATGCCCTTCCTCATTACCTTAGTGACATTAATATTTTCCCAGACAGTCTTCTCACTTTTCTTACCACACCTAGCAATCCCACAAATTTTTTTACTGATATGAAATCCATTTGAATATCAAATTTAAATGGTCATTATTTCAATAAATGAAATATTTACACTTCTTAGGCCCCCTGCTGACAAGTTTACACAATTTACATAATGTTAATTTATATAATATTAATAACAAAGACAACATCTGACTTTAATACATATCACTGTAAATCCCTTGTGTTCAATGCTAGAAAACTTTTATAGATTTGGAAATTATTATTATTTTCAAAATAAATGTTGGTGATCCATGGGGTCTGAGGAGAAAGGCAGCTGTCACATACTTATTCACCAACAATTTATCATTCTTCATTTAACATTTTTTTTTAAACTCTAAAATCAATATTTTGAAAACAATCGAAACCTGTGAGTTGAATTATTATTTCGCAAGTGGTGAAATGTTAATTTGACTTGTTAACAGGGACAGAAATACCATTTAAAAGCATATCAAAAATGGAGACGTTTGTGGTTAAACTTTTTACCATATCTTTGTAGTGTACATGTATGCACCAAATTGAGCACTGTATTTGCTCATACATGTACACGTAAAAAAATATTGAATAAGCGATCTTTAAAATATGACTTATTCAAACCATTTATGTCATTTACATGAGAGCATGCGCTACTAATAAAGCAAATACGGTATCTGCAAACACCTGTCCTAGCTAAAATCAATCTCTTGGGATATAGATGTAACTTACTGAAAAGAAGCCGAAAGTATGGATTTCTGAAACACAGGAACACAGTTAAGGCAAGGGTACAGAATTACAAAGTCTTTTAGAATTAATTACAAAGTCAGGAAACTGCAGTAAAATTGCCATAAATTGCATAAATCAAGACAAAAGCAATGAATCTGATTATAAAAGTCGCTAGTTTTGTGACAAGATTTGCATAATCTTGTAAAGAGAAGAATACGTCTAATAAAAGACACCAGGAGTGCCAGAAATGTCTTGGATAAAGAATATGAAACGTTAAAACATCACATCCTGTATTTTGTCAATATAAGTTCGCATCACGCGCCAAATTTAATCAACCAAGGTTTATTGGGAATCAATTTTGCATTATTAGGAGTAAAATGTTATTAGAAACGAGTAATGAATAAAATCAAAATGACAATAAGGCAGGATTTAGCCCAACTTAAGAATAACGTTATTTCTCCAATAAATATTTAGTGTCACATTTCCTAGGAGCATATGCTGTATGTATAACGTTCCTACATGGTTTTAAAAAGTATTTTTTAGGAAAACAAAGTGTTTTTATGACACAGGCGATTGTTACATGTTACATGTTACTTGATCAGCATCTCTGGATTTCTTCAATAAATTATAAATAAGATTATGAATGACTTTGGGGATGGCGGTTGAAGGACCTTGCTTTTAAAATTATGAAGACTAGCAGCTTGTTACATGTTTAAGAGGTTAATACAGCAGCTGAATGAAGCTAGGGCTGAGGTTATTGAGAGTGCTTCATCCAAGGATAGTCTTGATCAGAGAAATGCTATTTTCTTGCCATGTGATAATCACAACAGCTTCAAAAATTGCAATAGTTTCATGATTACAGGCTGGAAGTGGAACAAAAAATTACAGAAAATATGAACCTACATTTTTTATTAAGAAAGGTTTTATTTGGAAAGACAAACACAAGGAAAAAACCATACAATCAAATCAAAAAACAATATGTTAGTGCAGCAAAGCCAAAATGTATTGTATAGAGACCCCTAATTATTATAAGCAGTCGCGGCTCTCCTTGGCGTTCTGCAGTACATCACGGTAATGGCCGCGGTGCACCGCCCGTTTGATTTCCTACTCTCCCCTAATGTATCTTAGTCAAATCATCTCTGAAAAAAAATCATGTGGAACAAACAACAATCACTACTGTCTAGGATGCTTGGGTGCTGTATATAATAAAAGCAAGAATCCTGTTCTGGATCGTCCAAGTTTGAGTGTGAACAATCAGTTTCTGGGTTGTTCAAGTGTTAGCGTGAACAGGGCAAGAATCAGGTTCTGGATCGTCCCAGTGTGCATTGTGAACAGGGCAAGAATCAGGTTCTGGATTGCCCCAGTGTGCATTGTGAACAGAGCAAGAATCAGGATTCTGGATCGTCCCAGTGTGCATTGTGAACAGGGCAAGAATCAGGATTCTGGATCGTCCCAGTGTGCATTGTGAACAGGGCAAGAATCAGGTTCTGGATCGTCCCAGGGTGCATTGTGAACAGGGCAAGAATCAGGTTCTGGATTGCCCCAGTGTGCATTGTGAACAGGGCAAGAATCAGGTTCTGGATCGTCCCAGTGTGCATTGTGAACAGGGCAAGAATCAGGTTCTGGATCGTCCCAGTGTGTATTGTGAACAAGGCAAGAATCAGGTTCTGGATTGCCCCAGTGTGCATTGTGAACAGGGCAAGAATCAGGTTCTGGATTGCCCTCGTGTGCATTGTGAACAGGGCAAGAATCAGGTTCTGGATTGCCCCAGTGTGCATTGTGAACAGGGCAAGAATCAGGATTCTGGATCGTCCCAGTGTGCATTGTGAACAGGGCAAGAATCAGGTTCTGAATCGTCCCAGTGTGCATTGTAAACAAGGCAAGAATCAGGTTCTGGATCGTCCCAGTGTGCATTGTGAACAGGGCAAGAATCAGTTTCTGGGTCGTTTATGTACAAGTGTGAATTGGACAAGAATCAGTTTTCCGGTTGTTTATGTACAAGTGTGAATTGGACAAGAATCAGTTTTCCAGTTGTTTATGTACAAGTGTGAATTGGACAAGAATCAGTTTTCGTGTCGTTCAAAAGTATGAGTGTAAACAGGGTAACAATCATGTTATGGATCATCCCAGTGTGCATTCGTTATACTTTTATTGCTACTGTACTGATAGAAATACTGTATTTCTAAAGATGCAATAAATATAATCATTATTATTATTGTGAACAGAGAAACAATAAAGTTCTTTGTTTATTTTGGCAGATATTTTGGTCTTGTACATAACATCACATACATCATGCATAGTATACATACATGTATAGACATATAGACACAAAGATTGTTATTATATGCTTTGAACACAGGAGTAAAAAATGATTTTCCCAATACATCAGCCCCACATTATTCAGCTATGTTAATTTCAAACTGACTATCAAATAACATGTATATTCATAGTGATTCTACAAATATATCAAAAGTTGTAAAGAAAAAAAAAATGAATACAAGAAGAACTACAACAAAATGCACCAAAACAGAGAAATTGCCAAGTGCATTGAGCTAAAATGAGGAGTAGACATGTCTTGCATTATGTAACAATTACAAAAAAATTAGCATCAACAAAACTTAATATGCATACTGATACCAATACGACTTGATGGTCACATCTGTACACTTTCTGCTTCATTATGCATTTATTAATTTCTACATCTTTTGACTCCCAAAATGCGGTTTGCTTTTTAATTAATTTAAAAATAGAGGTTGAAGGTGAATTCATTGTATATGCAGCCGAAGTTTCAGTGAGGTAAAAAAAATTGCAACCTTTAAGCTATTGTATCGATTACTTATCTATTAGACTGGTTGCAGCGTAATACAATGGGGAAAGTTGTTTTTTTTCTCTGTCTTACGGCAACAATTCTCATCTTTCTCTAAATGTTTAATGATTGATCAAAGGATCAAAAACTGATTAGTAATGCAAACTGAGGTTAAACTTTCAACCAATATAGTCAGTGTGACCTAGTATGGACCCAGTAATTTGTAACAGAATACCCTTAAAGTTAAAATTTCAATCATCTTCTTTGTCCAAATGTTGGTGATCATTTTTGGATTTTTTCAGTGTTTCTTCTTATTATTATTGGGTACCGGTAAATGAATAAATATTATTATTATTATATTTGACTTGTACAACCATCATTAGCTAACACTGTTGAATCAAGAAGTCATCATTTGCATACATGAAAAGAGCCTCCTAGTCTTGATTATAAGATTTGACAATGTGAATTCCTGATACATGGTTCTCATCTGACAGAGAGATTTTAAACAGAATGAATGTTCCACCACGCATGGATTCACACAGCCTCATCCAGCCCTTGTTTCACATTACTACAGGCCCTGTAACAGTTCATGTATCCATACCATCAAATACTGTAGAATACTTTATTTTCGCTTGGAATTTATTTTCGCTATTTTCGCTGAAGGGATGATTCCGTGAAAATAAAATTCAGTGAATATACTTTTTTTCCTATTAAACTCATCAAAAATCAGTGAAAATAAATTCCATACAAAATGCCCAAAAAGTCTTTTCAGCGAAAATTAATTTCAGCGAAAATAAAGTATTCCACAGTACGCCACAGTCCAATACCAATACCACGATAGAAAAAATATGAGGTTCAGAGTCTACCTTCTTTTAAGCCATACACAACAGTATGAACAAGTTCTGTTATAGGACATAAAAATGTTGTAATAGATTGTTTCATATATACAAAGTGTAGATTAATTGTATCAATTTTGATTTTACATTCTTCTTATTCTTATTCACCAAAAAAGTTAACAGTGCCCTCTATAGTCCATATACGTAAATACTGCAATTCAAACCCTCCAGAGGGCAGTATAACACCACATTCATTGTGGTGGAATAATAACATCCAACTTTGTGGTGAATATCAAGCCATTTTCTGTCTCTAAATAAAGCAAGGAATATAGTTACCACTATTACATATTTATATCATTCTAGATTAAATAACTATTTGTCGGTATGGTTATGCATGCATCAAGTAAATACAAAATCCCATTTATCAAACGTAAATACTTGAGATGTTACCCAGGAAACACCGTAGTATAGTGGTGTGTTGTTATATATACTTACATTGTATATGGTATGCTTTCAAAATGCAGAAAAAAATATGCATGGACACCGAACTTTTTGCATAACATGTCATGTGTCAAAATTTCATTCAGGTACATACAGTGAAAAAATAATATGTAGTTATAAGATAGGTCCTTACGATTGTCCTGATTTTTTGGGAATTTCTGACAAATACTATTTATTTTTTAAGTAAGTTATGATTTAACACTAATTCATTCATGTTTACAGACTGGATTTCTCCAAAAAAAATATTTTGTACTGGGTAAAAAAAACCTAAAAGCCAAGTAGTTGTGTTCACGTTACACGAAGTACGGAGTAAGATTTAAGCCGATTTAGGCTTATCTAGCATATTTGCATTTCGGCTAGACCCAATTACGTCCACGCACAGGGAGGGCCAGTCGTTAGCA